GAAAACTATATGTTGGCCAAAGATTTTATCTCTTCTTCTAACTTCTAGTAAGAGGAACAAGGGATTATAAAACCCTTCATAAATCAAGAAGGCCATCACTTAAAACACGAACCCCAAACAAAAATGCCGTAGTATAAATGTGTGAATCAGGGCCATGAAGACAATAGCAGAAATAGTAACGAGTGTGCAGAAATACCAGAGAGTGCATATCCTGCTCAGAACCATTCACATTTAATTCAGTTCTTTGAAACAATTAAAGCTTTGTGCCCACAATTTGCAATCTGTGGGTTAATAGTTAAAAGAATGCTCCCAACCAAAAAATTCTTACTGTAATATTATATCTTTCCCTACTTATTTACAAAATAATATGTTTCTGTTATGGTCCATAGTAATAATTGAAGAGAGGCTTAGAAGTAAGTACATCTGGTTGTTTATTGGGAAAACGATGCAAATAATTCTGCTTTTAGAGCCTTGTTACTTTATTTCACAAAACAGGCCTGTGTCTAGGAGTGTAATTTGTGGATGGTTGAGTTTGTAAGAACAATCATAAAAGGACTTGTTAGTCATCAGAACATCTACTAAAATGCAGGTATATGTATAAAAGGTAATAGCATAGCTGAAAATTTTGAGAAGGTAAAGGTTTCTTAATTAAAATATGAACATATTTAGCTTACTTTAGTGTCTGGAGCAAGTCCTCTCAATGCGTAAAATTAACTTTAGAGATCCATAATGTGTTCAGGTTTAGATCATATGACACCCGAGCACAGAAGAATAATTTCAAGGAGGTCAGCTTGTAAATTAAAGGTTTAGAAGAATTGCATAAAATGAAGTAAATTGGGTCTGTCATTAGCAAAGACAAATCTAAGTAATCATTTTTCCCCCCAGAAGTTACTTAGAAGGAGGACTGGCAACACTCGGGGCCTCTCTCAGTGATGGCATTCACTTCACACAGTCCTCTGTGTTATCCAGAGAGTTTTATTTCATTTTACATTTCAGGGCAGAGTTCTTTGGGGCTAATTAAAATAGGGTTTGCAGGCTTTTTATAATGTAGAATAATATATCTCTGTCTGTAGCTTTCCCGTGGTAGCCTGATAAGGCTGAGAGAGAAAAATATGTGCAGTATCTCATCCTCCCCCTGTGCTGGGCCATAGCTTTGAAGTGTATTTTGTAAATTCAACTATAGGTTAGTCAGAGTGCTGTTTCTCATTAATTAACTTAGCCTGTGTTGACATCGCCTCCTTCCTGGTCACATTCAGAGCTTCCCAGGGTAAAAAGGGGTATGTAGAAAGGATTCTAGAAGAAGGAATACTTTATTCTCTAATGTTAATAGCTTTTCTGGATCTGTTAGTAGGGGGAAAGTAGAAAATCAAATAGAATTTGGCCTCAGGTCAATAAATTATATAAAAACGTGTGTTCTATTTATGTATATGTATGTTTCTCCAAAAAGTGATAAAACCAAAATATCACTGACTCATCCTTACCCATATTCCTTTCATAAAACCCACTCACCAGGTACAACAGAAACTTCCCTCCTTGTTTGTCAGCCTCCTGTTCATGTTCTCCACACACCTGAAGGTGGTAGAATCTTTTCAGCCTCTTATCTAGAGAGCTAAATATGGCTAAGTGCAGGTCATCTAAGACCATCGTATAAGCCAACTACAGTTCACCTTTCCAAATTTGGTCCTATGGATGTTGAGCATAGGGAAGCAACTCTCAGTATTTTGGATTATTCAAGTATATGTGATAAAAATGCAAATGATTGCCGCTTTACCCCAGGGTTTTATTAGCATCCTACTTCTGCTGGGCTGCCACACAGATGGTGCCCTGAGGTCTTATTATATAATGCCACAGGCATCTGGTCAAGGTAAACAAGGCAGAAAGGGTAGGCAAGAAGCGAGATAAAATCAGACCACCTTTGATCAAAATGGTTGGTGAACCTCCACATGTCCAGTTCTGTTGCCAAACTTTCCATTCTGAGTATTTGGTGGAGTTTGAATTTGAGCAAACTGAATGCCTTCATCTTGGGTAGAAAGGGCCTGAATCTTCCACTTTATATTCAAACCTCATTGTTATTTGGCCTAAGTAAAAAGTCAGATTTCATTTCCGTTTACCCGAGTTCGCTTTAAAGAGCTTTTCAAAGAGAGCTTTATAGACACCCACAATTGTCCCCAATCTCTTCATGATTTTGCATTAATAGTTGTTTTTGTCCCTTTCTTGGAAATGTTAATGCCAAAGTTGCCTGAACATTTGAGCGTTTTTCTTAATTTGAAGTATAAAAATTGTAAGATTCCAAAGGTATTAAAAGATTGTTTATCAGTATGTCTGGTGATGTCATTATCTCCAGAGAGGGAGGCTTCAAGAAATCCTTTGGAAATAAAAAGTTAAATGTTTACATTTCATGTGGTATTTGAGGTCTTCAGGTTCTGATTAGCTTACTTTTTTCCTTTGTCCTTGGCTGATTTCTGCTTTGTAGATAAATAATAATAGCCCTGAGGTGTTTCTAACATTTAAATAAGAAAAAAATCACATCGAAGTCAGCCTGCTGGAAAAGTGATCACATGGCAGTTTCAGTAACTTGTATGGAAAGAGAAAATGCAATGAGCCAGTTACTGCACTTGCCACTACCATGCTGTCCATGGAAGGAATAATCAACAGTTCAATTGTCACAAGCCGCCCTTGAAGAAAACGCAGCAAAATATTTTTAAATGAAGATATTGAAGTCCCCAGAGCCAGTGAAGGTTTCTTTTGGTAAAATGAAATTGTGCCATTCTCAAATTACCCCGTAGTGTTGAGCACTGACTGGTTCACTGGCCACATTTTAGTTCTTCATCATAATAGGCCAGAAGAGGGCTCTGTGGTTTACCTCTGTGTGCACTGTCCCCTCCCCACCCCTAGGGGGCACTCAGTAGCTGCTGAGAAGGCCTGTCCACGAGGCTGTTGGAACCCCTCCAATAAATACTTAGAGGTAGTGTATCTGATGCTTGTTTTCATGGAGAAAATTGTATTGGAGATCATAAAGCATCATGAATATTTTTAATAGGATCAGCAGACACCCAAAGGAGAAGCTTAGTCTTTTCCAGGTATTTCCCACTTGAGTTCAACCCAAAGCCTTTGAAAGGAATGCATTACCACATGGCCACATGCTAAGACCCCACAGGGTCTAACACGGGGTCTAAGAAAGTCTCTGCAGCCAGATAGTACATGGTGTCTCCACAAAACTAGGCATTCTGGAGATTGCCCAGAAAGGGATGGGAGGGGACCATTAAGATCTGTCTCGCTTATCTCATGCACTCACATTACTTTCAGCCTCCTGGAGTTCCTGATAAAAGGAAGCCAGGGTGTTGACATTTTTTAGCTATTGATTTCCCAATAGCTTGTGGATCAGTTGTACACCCACACTTCCTTCTCTGCCTAATTCCGTTTTTCTGAAAAAAAAGTAGTATGCCTATATATGTGTGTTTTTCTTAACACAGGTCCATGAAAGTTTGGCTTCCTAGTTTGATGTCTGTTGTATGGCGTAGAAACCAAGGGGCAACAACTGTTGAGATGGTTTCTGTATTCAGTGAAAAATTCTATTTCATTGAGACCATTTTTTCTTTATCCACAGTAATTTTTTAAAACTGTCATTGTGAAACTACCCTTAAAAAAATAAGATTGCCTGCAAAAAAAGAAATGAGCTATGGAATAGGAACAGTTATGTGATGATTCTGGAACTTTAACTTAGAGCTTCATTACTTTAAGAATGGAAACAACCTCTGAGTTTGATTTTCCAAAGTTTCATAAAGCCCCTAAGCTCATAATTTTCATCAACTCTTTGCCCACATAGTCATTTACCTCCAGAGCCATTTGTTGTCATAGAAGGGGTGGTGGTGGTTGGATTTGATTTTTTTCAACTTGCAGTGAGAAATAGGATAGGTGACAAAACCTTACTTGTTTTCTTAAGACAATTCAGTGCTTGAGCATCTCTGTCAGAAATGGAATGAAATACTGTTAGCCAATTAGAATTATTTTATGTATTGTTATTGTGTTTTGCTGATTTTTATATGAAAATATAATTATTCATTCTTGATCTCTGGAAGCAATCATTATTATGAGGATCATTTTACTTTGGAAACACTTTCATAATAAAGATAAGTATTAAGAGTGCAGTGTAAGTGCCCTTTACTGTAAATGCTAACCAGCTCATGTGGGTAAAACATCACATCTCACTGGATGAGGTTAATAAGGGCTCACATCATCCCAGTAGGTTGTTACAAGCCTCGTCAAATCCCAGTATCACTGTGATCATTGAGAAACTAATGTTACATTAACTTGGATAGACTATAGTGTTTCTTTGAAAATTAAGATTAAAACCTCAATGTTAAATGTTATGTAGCACTTTATTCTGGAAAAAAAATATGGTTTATAGAGTTCATCTGAAATATATCAGGTTATGCTTATTTTAAAGCAATTTTAAAAGAGGCACTTAGGATAAACAACCCAAAGCACAACATAAAATTTCCCTTCTCTGTGTATGTACCCCTCATCGGAGTTTGGCCCACATCATCTTCTCTTGGTTTGTACCTCACTTTGTTAGAACTTCTCTCCATCTTTCTCTGTCTTTCCTGTGAAATACTGTCTCTCTCACTCTGCTCTTCTGCTCTAAGGTTAGGTCATCTAGGACTCAAAAGCCATAAAAATAGCACTAAAATTCAACCAGACACCCTACCACTATCAGAAGTATTACAAAAAATAAAGCAGATACCCTATTAAAATCTTATAAACATTATAACCACCCCAACAATAGAGTAACTCATGCTGATTTCAAGCATGAGTTATTTTAATAAGTTAAACCACCAACATTCCTCTGAGACACAAAAATACAGACTATGAAAAATAGTCTGATTTTTCATATTTGGAATTCATGAATTCTTCAGTTCTATAAACATAGCATAATCTAATGCTATAAGCATCTGTCTTAGTCTGTTTTCTGCTGCTGTAACAGAATACCACACACTGGGTAATGTATAAAGAATAGAAGTTTATTGGGCTCATGGTTCTGGAGGCTGGGAAGTTCAAGAGAATGGTGCTGGAAACTGGTGAAGGTCATTGCATGGTGGAAGGTGCCACATGGGAAAGCAAGTGTGCTAGACAGAGGAAACCAGGCCAAACTCATCCTCTCATCACTCCTGAAATAAAAGCATTAATTCATGCATCAGGACAAGGTCCTACTTAATACTTGAGTTTTACAGAGGACATTCAAACTATAGCAGTATCTCCCCCAAGTAGCCAAAATGCAACTCATCTTTTCTCTAGGCCCCATTGCTTACTACTGGGGCTGCCATATTCAACCTAAGCATCTGTTATTCCTGCCTAATTCTGTTTCCACCAGCCGTGCACTTGCTTCAGTGAGAACAGTGGCAACAATGCTAACAACATTGAGAGATGATAGGACAACAAAGGAGGAGAGCTGTGTACCAAGATCGGCTGGGACACTGGGTGGTCCCTCAGAACCAATCAGCACGGTAACTGGATCCTGGGACCCACACCCTTGATTATTCCCAAAGTGCTAGAGCACGAAGAAACAAAAGTTATATTATTCCTAGACATTAACATTTAAAAATTTTTAATTAAAAAAAAATTTTAAGGACAGAGTTTCTCTCAGTTGCCCAGGCTGGAGTGCAGTGTTGCAATCATAGCTTACTACAGCCACAAACTCCTGGGCTCAAGCATTTCCCCACACCTCAGCCTCCCAAGTCGCTGGGACTACAGGCACACACCACCAAATCCAGTTAATTTTTTAAATTTTTCATAGTAGTGAAGTCTTGCTATGTTGCCCAGGCTGATCTCAAACTCCTGACCTCAAGCAATCCTCTCACCTTGGCCTCAATGTGCTGGGATTACAGGCATGAGCTATTGCACCCAGCCTGAAATTTAAAAATTATATATAGCCTGCCTTAGCCAAGGTCCAGGCGGGAAACAGAGTCACTGTGAGATGGTTAAGTTGAAGAAACGTTAACAAAGGGATGACTTTACAGAGGCATGGGCTGGATTACAACATCAAACAAAGGAGAATGAGGCATCCAGAGGCTAGCAAGTATGGGAAGCCTTTACCACTCCTGGGTTGTAACCAGAGGCCAGTGAGAGGGGCTAGGGTGGAAAAGAGGCGACTCTTTGCGGGCTATAAACCTGGGTGGAAAGAAAATACCCCAATGTCTCTGTCATCCTGCCTTGTACCACCCGTTGGCTGGACTCAGCAAAAAGTACCACCCACTGGCTGGACTCATCAGAAAGCTGACAGTGTGGAGCCCGGGGAAAATAGACTACAGGGTTCAGCCTCGCAGCAGACAATAGATGTGGGAGAGCAAACAAAATAAGCAGCATAAAGCCACTATTCCTAGAGCCTCCCATGGAGTCTGGCATGTAATAGGGCACAAGAAATATTTGCCGAAGAAACAAAAGAACCCAGTTACAAGAGAACTAGTAAGAGTTGTTAGCAATTAATGTTCCATCTGTTAGGAAACAAGCAGGAGACACCACTTTGTGTCTCTAACTCTTTCTGAACTCGGGGTTTCCCTGTGTGGGTTCTCTCTTCCAAAGTGTGTGAACCATTTGCATTTCCACCAGCAATCAACAGAGTTCCCCTACATGCTTGCCAACATTTGGTGGTGTCAGTGTTCTGGAATTTGGCCACTGTGTGACATTTGTAGTGGTAGCCCATTGATGTTTTAATTTGCATTTCCCTGATGATATATGATGTGCAGCTCCTTGTTTATTTGTTTTTTCCTTCCCTTTATTGTAAGTTCCATAGAAGCAGGAACCATACCTGTCAATTTTGCAGTGAACCTAAAACTGCTCTAAGATAATAAAGTCTATTTTTTAAAAAGAAACAAGGAATATTGGTTTGCTAGGGCTGCCGTTACAAAATACCACAGACTGGGTGGCTCAGAACCATAAGAAAATAAATTCAGTAACAGAGTGTATTTTCTCACAGTTCTAGAGGCTAGAAGTCCAAGATCAAGGTGCCATCAGGACTGATTTCTCCTGAGGTCTCTCTTCCTGGTTTATGGATGGCTCCTTCTCACTGTGTCTTCACGTGATCTTTCCTCTGCGTATGTCTGTATCCTAATCTCCTCTTCTTCTAAGGAATCCAGTCATACTGGATTGGGGCCTACCCATATGACCTCATTTTACCTTAATCACCTCTTTAAAAAGCACTGCATCCAAATATTGTCACCTCCTGAGGCAATAGAGGTTAAGGTTTCAAAAAGAATTTGGAGGAAGACACAATTCAGCCCTTAAAGCAATTTCACATAGTGACAAAGTGACATGGCACAGCTGAGCTCCCCGCTAAACCCCCACCCTTAAGCCTGGAACCTCAGCCCTAAGTGAAAACAGCTGGCCCCACTTTTTGCCCCAATTTCCGGCCCCCGCCCCCCCCGCCTGCCACGCCCTTATCCTGTGCCCATAAAAGGACTCAGCTGGCAGAGCACCACAAGTGGCTGAGCGTTGGGGATACAAGCTGCTGAGTGTCAGGGATACAGGTGGCTGAGTGGTAAGCAGAGAAGCAGCAACCAAGTGTTGGAGACTACAGACAGATGCGGCTAACTTCAGACAGTGCCGCTTCAAGGAAAGATCACCTTTCTGTACCATCCCCTTTCCAATTCCCCATCCCACTGAGAGCCACTTTTATAGCCCGATGAGATCCTCCACATACACCACCCTTCAATCCATTTATGTGACCTGATTCTTCCTGGATGCCAGACAAGAACCAGGGTACTGAGAGGACAGGGGCTTGGATGCCACCTCAGGGCCCACACAGAGCCTACTTTTGCTAGAGAGGAGCAACCAGCTAATTCCACCATTCAGCAGGCTGAGTGAAACAAGCCACTCCAGTTCCTGCCCAAAAAGGGGGTCAATGTCAAGGGAACAATCCCATCTCAAAAGGACAAAGTAATGAAGAAATAAGGTGATTGCATGGTGATTGCCAGGGCTCTTCAGATTGGGTGGTTAAAGGTACCTTTTGGACAGGTAATCTGAGCTAAGACCTTACTCACAGGAGCAGCCAGTGGGGGGATCTTGTGTAGGAGCAATGCAGGCAGAGGCAGTGGGGACCTGCAAGACAAAGGCTGCAAGGTGGGAGTATGCTTCTAAATTCAAGGAATAACAAGAAGGCCAGTGTGAATGAAGCATAATGAACAAAAGGAAAGCTCAGGGCATGAGACTGAAAAGTTAGCAAGGGACAGATCATACAGGGCCCATATCCTATCCCCGTGGTAAGGAGGGCAAGTTTTAGGCTAAGAGTAGTGGGAAATACTTCAGGGATTTGAGAAGGGAGTAGCATAATCTTATTGGTTGTCATCTTTAATAAGAGAAAGAACATGAGCTAAGCAATGGAACAAATACAAATTTGTATTTATAACTGGAAAAAGCCTTCTCAAACTCCTAGTGTGTCCGTAGTGTCTGCATTGCATGACAAGGCAGGAAGATGGGCACGTGGCCATGAGAGGATATAAAGGATTATATATTACTGAAGATTTAACCCTCAAGCAACAAAGTCAAAGTCCTGATGGAGAGTGAGAGGTGGAAGGTTTTGCCATAAGTATGCTGAGATCTGGGACAGGAAATGCCTCCAGGTCACTTCAAGGAAAGCAACTTGAAAAAAATATGAGAAATTGGCAATCATCAGCCAGAGGATTGATCCTTAGGTAGGAAGGATCCTTAGGTAGGAAGGCAAACTTCCTGACTAAAGGCAGTTCTTTTCCATTGTTTTGTTACCACCTTTCTGTGTGTAGTTCAAAGGCACCTAGTGGACTGTGAATTGATGGATGAGAGCGATTTCCAAAGCACCTCTCTGGAGGAGGAGAGAAGCCAAAAGTGACAATATTTGCTGTTTGTAGATTTCACAACTGCTAGTTGCATATGAATGAACCTACCTAGTTTAGCATCACACCACCACCCAGGCAGGTTACACAGAGAAGAGAATCAACCTTGTTTTCCTACTGTGTGTCAGGCATAATGCTGGGTGCAATACTACCTCAGTCAAGCCACTTATCCCCTCAAAGGTAGATAAATTTTATTCTCATTATTCATGATAATTATGTTCTAAAAAGTCACTGCAAGCACTGAATTAGCCAGTACTGAATCATTACTCCTAGGATAAATACAGGGTTAGTTTTCCGGGACCTTCTGGTCACATTTCATCAACTGATTAATACATAACCTTGCTTTATGTGTATTTGTTTAAAGACTTCCTATTTAATCTGTATTTTTGGTTAATTACCATTGAACTCACCGTCAACTGCACTATAACTCATTTCTGAATGAAGCTTATCAACACATGCATTTTTGTAACTGCCCAATAGGTTCTCCTTGCCGGCTGCCCGGATAGAGCTGATTTGTCAAGATAAAGGAATTTAATTCTGTGTGACTTTAATTCACACAAAGCTGGCTGATTAGAAGACTGGAGTATTATCATGCAAATCAGTCTCCCTGAAAATTAGGAGGCTAGGGTTTTTTCAAGGATGCAATCATAGAGGTATGGAAAATGGTCCTTGTGAGCGCTCAGTTCACTTCTGGATAGGGCCACCACCTGCGTGGGGCCACAGGGAGGTCCAGGTGGAGACACTGGTCATCAGAAATGCAAAAACCTGAAAAGGCATCACAAAAGGCCAATCAGACATCACAAAAGGCCAATCTTAGGTTCTGCAAGACAGATGTTATCTGCAAGAGTAATTGGGGAAGTTGCAAATCTTGTAACCTCCAGAATAATGGTTGATAATCCTTTATGTCTACACCTTAGCAGAATTTATGCTCCTGTCATCCTCCTAAGCTGGTGATCTTTCATTAGCTTTACAAAGGGTGGTTTAGTTTTGGGGAATGGCTATTGTTTAAACTATAAACTAAATGTCTCCCAAGGTTAGCTTGTCCCAAGCCCAGGGAATGATTAAGGGCAGTTTGGAGGTTAAAGGCAAGATGAGGGTTAGTTAGATCAGACTTCTTTCACTGTTAAAATTTTCTTGCTGTTATTTTGCAAAGGTGGTTTTCATTTTCCCCATAAGGCATATCACAGCTTTCTTACACTTAAGCTCCCTAGACAGCACTTTAGCACTACACTTGGGGGCCATTTTAAACAGCAAAATCACCAACAAAAAGCACAAAGATGCAAAAGTTGTGTCACTAGACAAACTACAAAAAGGATGTTTGTTTACAGCATGAGTTGAAAGAAGAAGGCAGAGTGGCGCCTTGTTCAGCCCCAGCTTAGAATATGTGCATCAAGTGACTCAAAATTTTCACCACAGATGACTATAAAAGATGCATGTATTCATCAGGGTTCTCCAGAGAAGCAGAACTGTTACAGTAGGTAGCTAGTCAGGCATAAGCAGGGCAGAAGAGGGCCACCCACGAACCAGGAATGTCAGGTGACTATCAGGTAATTGTCAGGTGGTTGTTACACTATTTCTCTAAAATAATAATTTGTCAAAGTGGTGTTAAGGAAAGGCAGTCTCCCAATAGATAGAAAAAATCTGAAACTGGTTATCAGCAGCTCCCTGATAAGATCTCAGGAGTTGGGAGAGTGGGCTCAGGCATGCTTATTAAGAGACAAAATGGTGAAGTTTAACTTATATGACCTTCTAGGAGCATTCAACTGGTAAGGGAGGAAGGCCCCAAGTAAGCATGCATACAACTCCAATAAACACACTGAGTCAGCCCCTCCCAAGTGCTAGCAGGCACTACGCATGCAGACATTCCACTGCAAGGGAAGAATCGGGAGAAGGGATGCAAGACCTGGGTAGTATGCCAACATACAAAACCTCAAGTCAAAGGTCAAACCAGGCACTTGATCTCTCAAGTTGCCCACTTGGCCATCTTCCAAGTAACTTTACTTCCTTTCATTCTTGCACTAAAACTTTTAAATAAACTTCACTCCTGCTCTAAAATACTTGCCTTGGTCTTTCACTCTGCCTTATGCCTCCGCAGTTAACTTCTTTCTTTTGAGGATGCAAGAATTGAGGTTGCCTCAGGCCTGTACAGATTTGCCGACAGTAACAGAACCAATAAAATATGTGTGTGTGTGTGTGTGTGTGTGTGTGTACAGAGAGAGGGAGAGAAAGGGAGGGAAGGAGAGAAAGATTTATTATGGGGAATTGGTTCACACCAAGATGATGGAGCCTGAGAAGTCCCAAGATCTTCGGTCACAAGTTGTAGACCCAGGAGAGTTGACAGTACAGTTCCAGTCTAAGTCCAAAGACCTGAGAAGTAGGAGAGCTGTTGGTGTAAGTTCCAGTCCCAGTTGGTTCTAGGGGCAGGAGAAGACCAATGTCCCAGCTCAAAGACAGTCAAGCAGAGAGAGACCAAATTCTTCCTTTCTCAGAGTTTTTGTTCAGTTCAAGCCTTTAGGAATTAAATGAGGCCCTCTCAAACCGGGAAGGACAATCTACTTTACTCAGCCTATAGATTCAAATGTTAATCTCATTCAAAGACACCTTCACAGATACACCAAGAATATAGCTTAACTAAATATCTAAGCATCCTGTAGCCCAGTTAAATTGACACAGAAAATTAACCATCACATGCTTTGAGTATTGATTTTTGGTTTGCAAATAAATTTTAGAGGGCAGGTGAATTCACAAATATGGAATCCAGCAATCATAAGGATCAAGTGTATCATCATTCATCAGTGGTGTGATGGAGGCAGCTCATACCAGCTTGTACAGGCTGATTGTTATATTTTCTGAAATTTTGCAAGCTGATCATTAAACAGCCATTTTAAAAAATTGTATAAACTTACAAATTAAAATTATATTTTAAAATATAGGTAATAAGGCCAGGCACAGTGGCTCTCACCTGTAATCCCAGCACTTTGGGAGGTTGAGGCAGGAGGATTGCTTGAGCCCAGGGGTTGGAGACCAGCCTGTACAATATGGTGAAACCCTGTCTCTACCAAAAAAACAAAAAAAAAAAAACAAAAAACAAAAATCAGCAGTCATGGTGGCACACACCTGTAGTCCTAGTTACTTGAGAAGCTGAGGTGGGAGGATTGCTTGAGCCTGGGAATTCAAGACTGTAGTGAGGTGTGATCACACCACTGCACTCCAGCTTGGGCACAGAGCAAGACCCTGCCTCAAAAAAATACATATTTACAGGTAATAAATACCCAAAAACATCACTTTTAATGATTTACCTATCTTCAACTATCATCTATGCTCTTGAGGTTATTTACATCTATTGTATTTGTATGAAGGATATGAATACAAATTTGTGTTTGTATTTGTGTGTGCTGTTGTGCATTTCTTCACAAATCTCTGTTCAGTGCAGCAAAAGCTGCAAATTAGGGCTTGCTTTCTTGTTTATTCATTCATTTATGATGAGCCAGTTAAACACTCCCCAGCACAGTAAAGATTTGACCCTAGACCTGAGTGATTCCAAAACTTATGCGTACTCTTTCTGGTTCATTACACAGATTCCATTTTTTCATTTCCATTCCAAATGTTTGCATTTGTTTCTGAAGATGTGGGCTGCCAAGATTTTTACTGCATTTCGAATTCTCCATTGGCTTTTTTTCTTATCTACCTCTGTTAATTTTTCTTACAGATCTAATTTTTCCTCCTGTAGTTTTCATCTGTATCTTCCCTCTTTTTGGAATCATATTGTTTAGTCCTTTCAACAGTATCAGAAGCTTTTCTTGGGAAAGACCCCCAATAAATCAAATACATCAATAACTGAACTCAATTTTTCAAGTTCACTCTATCAGTCTAATTCACTAAGGGGACATCTTCCTCAATCTAACCCTGGGAACTTGCAAGGTCAAACCTAACCCAGAACACCGGTTCACAAAGAACCAGGGGAAGCAGTTCAGTCATTCAAGACATTGCAGACTGAAGAATGGAAGGGATCCACATAGTAAAGTTGTTTTTTAGGGATCTGGCTTTTAAGAATGGGCTGAAAGACTCATAGGGAAATAGTCCTAGGGGTGGGTAGTAGGTAAGGGATGAAATGCTACAAAGTGAGTTTATATCCTGTAACTTGAATTATAGGAAATAAAAGAGCAGTTACCAGCCCTCCTCTTTCTGAGTCATAGCTATTAATTTGATTAATCAGGATTGAACTCTTGGCTCTAGCCTAAGTTCCTGACCCAGAGTGCTAGTTACTGTCTGGCAAGCCATCAAGCAAGACTATGTTAGATTTCAGACTAATTGGAGCCATGTCACCAAAGATGAGTTCAAAAGGATCCCTAGAGTTCTTAAGAGCAATGCGTATTGTTTTTCTCTTAGCTGAGGGTACTAGATGGTACACAGAACAGAGCCCTGACATACCACACTTCTAGTGCTGCCATTTCTTAGTTGTATCACTTACAAGTCATTTCTGAGGAGTTATAAAATAGTTTGCACTATGGTAACCAGTAGTTTACACTATGCTACATGTACCAAATTGTTTACCCACAGAACCAGAATGCTAATGAAAGCAGTAAAATGCACATCAAAATCAAGTCAATAAATATATTGAGCACCAATCATTTGAGACATTATGTTAGGCTTTGTGAGGAGTATAAGGAAGTCAGGGGCAAAGCTGCTGCATTGAAGGGGGTCTCAATACAGTTAGGGAGGCAGGCCACAGGCAGAAGTTATTAGCTCTGAAGAAATAATTGTTCTATGTGTAGATCAAACTTAATGATCAAGGCAAAAACTTTTTTTTTTTTTAGACAGAGTCTCACTCTGCTGCCCAGGCTGGAGTACAGTGGCACAGTGTCTCAGCTCACTGCAACCTCTGCCTCCCAGATTCAAGTGATTCTCGTGCCTCAGCCTCCCAAGTAGCTGGAATTACAGGTGCACGCCACCACACCTGGCTAATTTTTTTTTTTTTTTTTAGTAGAGATGGGGTTTCACCATATTGGCCAGGCTGGTCTTGAACTCCTGACCTCAAGTGATCCACCTGCCTCAGCCTCCCAAAGTGCTAGGATTACAGGCATAAGCCACTGCCCCTGGCCAGCAAAAGACTTTTAAAAATAAAAATAAAATCTATAGATAGAAGACATCGGTATCATCGTTATATCAAATATGTTGTGAGAATAGTAATTGCCAGAAAAGTTCAGAGGAGAGAGAGGTTGTGTTATAGTAGGCAGACATCAGCAGGCCAGGAGAGGGCTGCCCGCCCAATCCGGAACATCAGACGACCATCAAGTGATGGTCAGGTGGTTGTTACACTGTTACAGTCATTATTTCTCTAAAACAATTAGTCACAGCCAGCACCAGGGAAAGCAGTCTCCCGACAGATAGAAAAAACCTGAAACTGGTTATCAGCAGCTTCCCAATAAGATCTCAGGAGTTAGGTAAGTGGGCTCAAGCATGCGCACTATGAGGCAAAATGGGGGAGTTTAACTGGTATATGACTTTCCTCTAGGAACGTTATACTGGTAAAGGAAGAACGTCTCAAGTGAGCATGCGTATAACTCCCGTAAACACATTGCGCAGGCAGCCCTCCCCAAGCACTGGTAGGGCACTGGGCATGCAGACAGCCCACCAGAAGGGAAGAATCAGGGGAAAAGGGATGCAAGACCCCAGAGGTATGCCAATGTATAAAACCCTAAGTCAAAGGTCAAGCCAGGCACTTGATCTCTCAAGTTGCCCGCTTGGCCCTCTTCGAAGTGTACTTTACTTCATTTTGTTCTTGGCCTAAAACCTTTTAGTAAACTTTCACTCTTGCTCTAAAACTTGCCTTAGTCTCTCTGCCTTATTTTTCCTCGGTCAAATTCTTCCCTGCCCCCGCTCCAGGGTGGCTGGCACTACCGGTGCCCGCCATCACACCTGGCTAATTTTTTGTATTTTTAGTAGAGACAGGGTTTCACCATGTTGGCCAGGCTGATGTCAAATGCCTGACCTCAAGTGATCCGCCTGCCTTGACCTTCCAAAGTGCTGGGATTACAGGCATAAGCCACCGCACCCAGCCCCAACTTCTTTCTTCTGAGGAGCTAAGAATTGAGGTTGCTGCAGACCCATAAGGATTCGCTGCTGGTAACAGCTGCTTCTGGGATCAGGTAAGAAAACGTTTCAAGGAGAAAGCTAGGAAGAATGGATAGGATTTGAATGAGTCAAGTGGAAAGAGGAAAGGCATTTGAGACAAAGGATATAGCATGAAGCAGTGAGGCAGCCTGCATCCCACTCCCTACCACCTGTTCTTCCCCTTAGTGGCCTGACCTTGGCCTTCCAGTGCATCCTCATCCCTCCCCATCGGCACTGTCTATCTCAGAATGTGCCATGCCTGTGACAGCTCCGGGACGCTGGCCATGCTGCTTACACTGCCACGGAGACCTTTTTCCTCTTCTTCTTCATGTAGCTAACTCTTACTTGGCCTTGAAGACTAATTTATGTTAGAAGTTAGTCTTCCCAGAAAGCCTTCGTCTTTGGGAATTTGGTGCTCTTCCTTGAGAAGAAAAGGTACAACCATTTAACTCCGTCAGAACACTTACCACAGGGCCTTCCCCACTGGACTCACTGGAAACGTCTTGAGGGCAAAGGCCTTGCCTTTGATAGCTGATCCATATCAGCCACCGTGTCCACTACACAGTAGGTGCCCGTTATCAGCCACTGTGTCCACTACACAGCAGGTGCCCAATAAATTCTTGTAGAGTGAATATATATTTACAGAAAGAGGAGCTGTGAGAAAATGCCTCAGTTTTGGAAAGGAAAAATGGGTTGATTTTTACATTTTGAATTTAAGCTGATGAGAGTCCTTTCATGTGGAAATGTCTAACAAAAATTGGAAATAGAAGACTGACACTGGAGGCTGTTATGATTTTCATTTGTTTTTTTCAGATAAACTGAAGCACAAGAAGGTAAAAACCTTGTCCTTGGTCTTACAACCAGAAAGTGGTGATGCAAAGAACTTAGTCCAAGCTTTGATCTTTTCTGCACTGCCTGCCAAAGCAGAACCTTGAGAAATACCCATGTTTGAGGGATGAGAGGAAGAAGATAAATCAGCAAAGAAAATAGTGATAAGAAAGGTAAGTGATAAGAAAAAAATGATGTAAATGATGTAAATAATAAAGATGACAGCCAGGGTTGGTGGCTTACACCTATAATTTAAGCACATTGGGAGGCCAAGGCAGGAGAATTGCTTGAGCCCAGGAGTTCAAGGCTGCAGTGAGCTATGATGGTGCCGCTGCACTCCAGCCTGAGTGACAGAGTGAGCTCCTACCTCAAAAAGAAAAAAAAAAATGATGATAATGATGAGTTTCTCTTCTTCCTTTTTCTTTTTCTGTTCCTTTCCCTTCTCTTCCTGAACTATTCAGTCCCAAAACCTCAAATAGGACAGAGCAGAGCAGTATCTCTGCCAGGTGAGGGAATCACTGTGGCCCAGAGTGGAATGTTGGGGGCCAAACTGGGCATGGAGGTGTCTGCCCAGGAGGACAGTGCAGCTGGCAGAATCATAGTCCAAGATGGGGGTGAAGAGGAATCCACACAAGGTGGGAGTGAGGAGTTGGAGGAGGAAGCACGAAGAATCAAAGCCCAAGCAGGATGGTGAGGCCATCCCTGCAGAGGGGCAGCCTGGCATGAGAAGCCAGAGCATGAAAAGCCAGAGTGGAAGCAGTGGGAGATGGGTTACATTGGGGAGGATTGATCAAAGATGTAAATATATTAACAATAAGGGGAACCAGTTTCTCACTGCTGGAAAAGGGAACTGTAAATATGGAGGAGGAGAAAACCGAATGAACTTAGTAGTATTGGATTAAAATTGTAGGTATCCATGTATGGTTTTTAATAGGTAGATATCAAAATGAACAGAGATGTAAGCATATGTCTGCATTTACATGTGAGTATGTGTGTGTATACCCACACACAGATTAGATATAGATAGATAGATAGATAGATAGATAGATAGATAGATAGGTAGATAGATAGATGATAGATATTTCATAACTGTCCACCTCAGGGCCTAGAGTCAATGCCTCCTCAATAGCTCCTCCTTAGCACACCTAGTGACCCAGGTCTTGGTTTCTAAATCCATCCTAAATCCATTCTCCACGAAAAGGAACCAGGGCTCCTTGAAGTAGCTGAACCCAGACCTGGGCAGGGAAATCTAAGACTGGGTGTGGAACATTGTTGGGCCAGAAAGCAAAGAAGTACGTAAAGAATGATGGGAAAATGTTATGAGGACATAGAACCAACTAAAATCTAGAATATTTTGTGCCTCAAAATTAATAAGCTGGTGTATTAGTTTGTTCTCACACTACTAAGGAAGACATACCCAGGACTGGGTAGTGTATAAAGGAAAGAGGTTTAACAGACTCACAGTTCCACATGGATGGGGAGGCCTCATAACCATGGCAGAAGGCGAAAGGCAGATCTTACATGACTGCAGTCAAGAGGGCTTGTATAGGGGAACTCCCCTTCATAAAACCATCAGATCTCATGAGACTTATTCACTGTCATGAGAACAGCACAAGAAGCACCTGCCCCCATGACTCAATTACCTCCCACCGAGTCCCTCCCACAACATGTGGGGATTATTACAATTCAAGGTGAGATTTGAGTGGGGACAGAGATCCAAACCATATCAGCTGGAGTGTGCCTCCTATTGATTAAAGAAGTCACGAGCCCAGCCCAGATTCAAAAAGAGGGATGAAGTGGAGGTACAGTTAATTGGGAGGCTACTAGTCTAACAGACTATCACAACCAATGCCATGGAAAACCAAATATATTAGGAAAAGTAGAAGTTGCTAGTAACTTTGGGAAGCTGAAGCTGCTTAAAGTAGCTGGTACAAACTGAAAGTCAGACCAAGAAACAAAGGGCCTTCAAGAAGCTTTCTGAACCATTTCTGCCAACTCTGAGCAGATTTTCTGAACCAGCACTGGGGAAAACTGGTCTCATAAAAGAGCTTATGAGAGCAGAGCCACCTCATTGGGGTACCCACAGGCCGTGGGAAACGTGACACTTGCTTAATGCCGCTGGTTTTTAGTCAGGCCACAGTGAGAAGGAACAGTCCTAACAGGCCCCCAGCCAGATTGAGTTAGCTCATTTTTGGTTTAGTCAAGCAGTAAAATTTGCTAATGTTCTACTTTAAGTGCCTTCTCCAAAGACATCCCTCTTTGCCTCATGTGTTGAACCATCATTCAGTGAGTATATTTCATTGAAAATATGATTGATTGTCTTTTGTAGCAATAATAAAATGCTACAGCAACTTTGCCATAAAAGTAATAATCGTAATAAATTATAATGCATTGAATAAAATGGGAAACTATGAGTTCATATGATATAAATTAATATGTAATAAACTGAAAATGTGATGAGGAGCAAAGTGTTTGCCTAGTTTTAAGGTACGTCGCCACAAAATATTTACTCACTTCAAAGGTTAAAATAGTGACTCTACAGCAAAGCAGCCTGGCAGACACCTTCGTAATCAGGTGAACACCATCATTAATGGGGCAAATGAAATGAGTCACGTGAATGAATGCAATAAGATCACAGCATCACTTCTGTGATATTCCTGCCAAAGATACGAAACCTGAATCTGATCATGAGCAAACATCAGATAAGCCCAAATTGAAGGATGTTACACAAAATAATTAACTGGTCATCTTCAAGTCTGTCAATGGCAGGAAAGCCAAGGAAGGGCTAAGAACTGTTCCAGAGTGGAGACTAAAGAAACATAGTGCCTGAATGCCAGGCACGATACTGAACTAGATCCTGTTGCTATGGGAAACTTAGGCAGGACAATTGGTGGAACTGAGGGTTAGATAGTAGTGATGAATCCATTTCAATTTCCTGCTTTTGATGGTTGTATTGTGGTTTTGTTGTAGAACATCCTTGTTTGAAGGAAATGCACACTAAAATATTAGAATATGATGGAGCATTAGATCGGCAACTTATTCAGGAAAAAAGGAAAAAAAAATCCTTGTAGTGAACTTGCAATTTGTTTGTAACTTTGAGAGTATTTTTAACCAATATATTTGTTTTCAAAATCTTAATGTCCTAAGTAAAATTTTCAGATCTCTAGATGCAAAATGTTTATTTTTTAAAATAAGGATGCTATCTGTGACTTTCAAGAGTCGTAAAGTAATACAAGTGCCTCATGTTATCAAAGGAAAAATTTAGTGAAATAAAAAATGCATTAAGTAAAACTTCTTGAGAATTCTAAATTGTTTGGTGAGTAGTCATGTGAGTTTTATAAATTTTTGAATTAGGATAGTTATATTTTTTAGTGTTTTGTATGTATAATATAAAATTATCTTTATTTTATTTTCTTTTTTGAGACGTAGTCTCCACTCTGTCACCCAGGCTGGAGTGCAGTGGCGCGATCTTGGCTCACTGCAACTTCTGCCTCCCAGGTTCAAGTAATTCTCCTGCTTCAGCCTCCTGAGTAGCTGGGACTACAGGTGCTTACCACCACACCCAGCTAATTTTTTGTTTGTTTGTTTTGTTTAGTTTTTTGTATTTTTAGTTGAGACAGGGTTTTTGCCATGTTGCTCAAGCTAGTCTGAACTCCTGACCTCAGGTGATCCACCTGCCTCAGCCTCCCGAAGTGCTGGGATTATAGTCAGGAGTCAGCATACCTGGCCATAAAATTATCTTTAACATCTTTATTCTGCAAAAAATAAAGTGATCCTGATGACAGTAATAATAGTAAATGTTTATTGAACAGTCGTTATGTATACTTTGCTATGAAATATATGGTATTACTGCCATTTACATAACAGGAAACTGAAACTCAAAGGGGCTAAGAAATTTCTCCCAAAGTTAGCATACTCATTTGTAGTGTAGCTAGCTTTTGAATTCTCCACACTCCAAAGCCTATATCATTAACTCCTGTTCTTTAGTTCCTCCCATGGAGGCCATACAGAAGGGAATTTTGAGGAAGATACCAGAAGCTTGGGCTTCGTTCTAGATTCCTCCCACTCCCTCATTACTTACCCTTAAACCAGTCTATCACCAAGTCTTGCTGGTTCCATTTTAAAACTCTACCACTGCCTCCTGGGTTAGTTAAGGCCTCACTATTTTTCTCCTGGTTCCTGGCAACAGTCTCCTCACTCTTCCTAATCCTTATCTCAGTTCGCTTTAGAGTTTCTACACTACCATCAGAATGAACAGCCTAAACCTAAAATCTAAATATTGGCCAGGCACTGTGGCTCACACCTGTAATCCCAGAACTTTGAAAGACTGAGGTGGGTGGATTGCTTGAGCCCAGGAGCTTGGAAACCAGCCTGGGCAATATGGTGAAACCTCATCTCTACAAAAAATAAAAAATAAATTAGCTGGGCCTGGTGGCACACACGTTTAGCTCTAACTACTTGGGAAGCTGAGGCGGGAAGATTGCTTGAGTTTGGGAGGCAGAGGTTGCAGTGAGCCAAGATCGTGTCACTGCACTCCAGCCTAAGTGACAGAGTGAGACCCTGTCTCAAAAAACAAAACAAAACAAAACAAAATCTAAATATCACAAATGTGCATAAGTTCCTATGTGGAGAGAAGAAAGACCCTTTTGTGACTCCATTTACCTTTGGGTTAAAGTTAAAACATGACACTGGAGTCATCCCATTATCTGGCCTCTGAGTATCTTCCAAGCCTCATGAACTATAAGGTCCCATGCAAACTGTGCACTCAAAGCACTCTTGAGAGAGAATTTTCCAGATACAACAGAACAGTTTCTGTTATGTAAACACGACTGATACATGCATATCAAGTGTCAGCAAGTGTGACTATCTCTTACCAGCATTTTCTGTGTTTCCCTTCATTCCCAACTAGGCTGCGTGGGATACCTCTTTGTAATTTCCATTACATTTCTCTAAAGACCTCCTCTGTATCTATCATATCTTCATAATCTGTCCATCATATCTATCTATCATCATATCTATCGTCGTCTTCATAATCTATCATAGTATAATGTAACCTTCCTTCATCAAACTGCTGTCCTTGAAAGAAGGGATTGGCGCTTGTTCCTCCTTGGATCTCTCGTCAATGCCTGGAACAAAGAAGGTGCTTCAAAAGACATCCTGGAATGAATGAGTG